AGCATAGCAATCACCAGCTTTATTACATGGCTTCAGAATTAAGTTCAAATATGGGCGCCTGGGTGGCTCAGTCGGTTAAGCGTCTGCCTTCAGCTCAGGTTGTGATCCTGGGGTCCTGGGATCGAGCCCCCCTACCCCATGTCGCTCAGCGGGGAGTCTGCTTCTCCTTCTGCCCCTATCCCTCCCCCTACTCGTGCTCTCTCTTTCTATCCCCCCTCAAATAAATAAATAAAATCTTTATTAAAAAAAGAATTAGGCTCAAATAAATTGCTGTAATGAATGCAAATGCACCTTTAAACGTATGAAAGCTATAGATTTTCGTTTTGCTTTTGTTTCTCCCTGAAGATTATATGTGCTCACTCCTGTGTCGTCAGGAACCACTCTCAGCTTTTTGCCTTAGCTTAGATTTTCCTATTCTCAGCAATACTTTGTTGAAATTTTCATAATGTGATTGAGTCTTGTGACTTTAAACTCTGTCCTTTGATAATACTTCTTGAAAAATGCAGATAATTAAGCTCCTCCTGACTCCACATGGCCCCCTGGCCTCCTGGCCCTCTTCCCTCCTCCCTGCTCAGATAAGGGGACCTCTGATATTTAAAGGGTGCACAATTGAAAATAATGCTTTTTAAAGATGTACCATTTACACATTTGTTACATTTGCACATTAACAGCACCTGACTCTGACAATTCAGAAACAATAGAGTTTGTCACCTGCTCCGCAGGCATATAATTAATTGGTGGGTGTTAATAACAGTACCTTCGTTCCTAAGTTGTTCTGTGGCACCTTCTACTGCCTGACCTGGGCCCATCAGCTGCCAGTTACTGCTTTGCCCTTTTATTCCAGTGTCATCTGCTTCTTGGGTGAATAGAAGCCTTTGTTCTTGACCTCTGGGTTCTGCCCATTTCATTACAAGAACATTCGTGTCAGGGCCTCTGCATTGCACACCTCCTGGGCCAGGTGATACCCAGCCTTATGTAGGGAAATGCATTCCACCCAAATTTAATTCCAGGATGAGGCTGGACAACGTCTTACTGTCCATGTTCCCGGGAGAGAGTGCTATACATGGTTATTTGACCCAAAATTTAGCAGCATCCTCGGGCTTACAGTTTACGATTGCCAGGCACCCAGGGGAGGGGCATGCAGGCGCCCGTGCCTTCGGGTTCTTTTCAGCTGGCTGGCTCTAAATGCACAGAAGAGTCAAGATAGTGCTAACCGAATTTCTTCCTCCAAAGCTCAGTCCTCATTCCAGATTCTTAATGCTGCCCAAAGCTTTGCCCCTCGGTTGTTTTTCTCGAGCAGTTTTTAATGCTATCTGAATACTTAGGCGATGCAGTTGGTAGGCTAGTTCCGATTGTAATTACGTCCTCTCTGTTATGGTAAAACACCGGCAATGCCAAACCCGGGGCCTTCGGTCCCATGCATTGTCTGACCGCGGCGACAGAACCAGACTGCCCTCATTGTTCAGTCCTGCCTTCCAGCTCTGAGTCACCTTGGTGGAGTTTTCCGCGTTCTCATTGATTTCTTCCCTACTTTGGAAAGAGATGAGAACGAAAGCCCCCACCAGCCTCAGGCGCAGTCCTGGGTTGCACTCTGTGGAGACCATTCCTCTCGGGTCATCCTGTACTCCACGGTGGCCTTTGGTGTGCTCTGTGGAAGCGTGGTGTCCCCTTCAGGAAGCATGCTACTACCACCCCCTGAGAAAGTCTGTGACCTCCAGTTCCGGGAAGCGCAAACACTGCCTCCCAACCAGCCCTGCATCCTAATCCCTGTTTCGTTTCCGACTCCGTGCAGTGCTGCTCAATCCTGAGGCTGGCAGCCGCATGGTGGCGCTCGACTCACCTTCTCTCGCTCCCACTGAGTTAGCGGCCAGGTTCCCCCATTCACCCCTGGAAGTGGCTGCCCCCCTCTGTTGTGCCCCAGTTCGGGCCTAGCCAAGGCTGCCTCCTTGGTGGCAGGCAGCTGGCTGGCCCTCCCCTGTGTGGCTCCTTGCACACAGCCTCCACACTTCCGCCCGACTGGCCTTTGAAAGCCCCCGTGACCTGTAGCAAGTGCCGGCCACACTCCTCAGCCTGACTAGAGGCCAGTGCGGCCCGTTCCACCGCCAGCTTGACTTCCGAACAGGGTGTGCCCTGTTCCGGGGACACGCGCCCTCCCGGCTGCTGCCCTCTGTGTGCGTCCTCTTCCCTGTGCAGGCTGGGGTCTGATCACTCAGCTCCGCCTGGCCTTGACCTCCATCAGCACTCCATCCGCTCGCTTGGAAAGCGTTTTACACCTTTCTGTGCCCTGGTCTTTATCTCTTGTGTGGTCATTGTTTACATATTTCCCTTAACCCCTTCACCACCTGTGAACCCTTGAATCCATTGTCCGTCTCTTGGTAGCGAACTCCATGCTCCACACAGCGAATGTCAAACTGAAATCACTGCTCAACATGCTAAATTTATAGTAGTTCTTTTCGTCTGTACTCATTTAATAGAAGAGCCTTCTTTTCTGTTCGTGGTGCGTTCACCCAGAGCCACATCATCTTTTCATTTATTCTGCTCAATTTTACACTGTTACTAAAAATATCGCGGAGACCACCCTTATACTTATGAGTTGGCAATAGAGTCAAAAGTAGAATCAACTAAAGAGGGTAAGTGTATATTCAGTTTTGGTAGATAATACCCAAATCATTCTCCAAAAGGTGTTTCCTTATACCATACCAATACTCGGTATTATCGGTCTATAACCTTTGCCAATTTGATGAGTAAAAGTTGTGTTTTTACTGTTTTTCATTTAAACTTGTGCCCTTGGTTATTGATGAATATGAGAATCTCTTCATGAATTTATTAGCCATTTGCATTTTGTCTTTTGTGAATTACTAATTTATAGCCTCTCTTTCTGTACTGAGTTGTTAGTCTTTTTCCTAATGAGTTTTGGAGACTTTGAAGGGCCAAAGGGAATAGTCAAGATCAGAATGGTTTGCATTAGGCAATTGTGACTCCTTAATAGAGGGGACACACACACACACACACTCAGCTTACTGTTTCGTCGTCTTTTTTTTTTTTTTTGATTCAAGTTAGCTAACGTATAGTGTAGTTTGGTTTCAGGAGTAGAATTCAGTGATTCATCAGTTGCATATAACACCCAGTGCTCATCACAACACGTGCCCTCCTTAATGCCCATCCCCCATCCAGCCCAACCCCTATCCACCTCCCCTCTGGCAACCCTCAGTTTGAGAGTTCCAGTTGTTGCTACCACATGCTGAGAACCCATATGTAAGGTGTTAAGCAGGGCCTAACAGTGCTCTGAGCACAGTGGCGTTTGAGGGAGAGCCTCGCATGTGTTAGGTAAGAGCAGGGCGTGTGCGCATGCGTGAGGTCCCACGTGCTATCCAGTTTCAGGAACAGCCTAATTTAGAGGCTGTTGTAATTGATTAACTGCAGTATCTTTTAGTCTTTGTAACTACAGAAAATTTAGGTGGGTTGATGATTTCACAGGTTTAGGAATTTTGCTCGAATGATATAGTTGAGATATTTTCCCTTGTTTTAATCTTGAAGTTCTCTGCATATCTCTGTGTCTCTCTCCCCGTTCTCCATCCTATACAGTAGAAACCAGTTGTTGCAATAGCAGCTGATGGTTTGCAGGCAGCAGCACGCTGGGTTTTTTGGGGGGGTGGGACATCAAGCAATTTTTTTTTATTAACATATAATGTATTATTTGTTTCAGAGGTACAGGTCTGTGATTCAACGTCTTACACAATTCACGGTGCTCACCATAGCCCATACCCTCCCCAGTGTCCATCACCCAGCCACCCCATCCCTCCCACCCCCCACCACTCCAGCAACCCTCAGTTTGTTTCCTGAGATTAAGAGTCTCTTATGGTTTGTCTTCCTCTCTGGTTTCATCTTGTTTCATTTTTTCCTCCCTTCCCCTATGATCCTCTGTCTTGTTTCTCAGATTCCTCCTATCAGTGAGATCATATGATAATTGTCTTTCTCTGATTGACTTATTTCGCTTAGCATAATACCCTCTAGTTCCATCCACATCGTTGCAAATGGCAAGATTTCATTTTTTTGATGGCTGCATAATATTCCATTGTGTATATATACCACATTTTCTTTATCCATTCATCTGTTGATGGATGCCTAGGCTCTTTCCATAGTTTGGCTATTGTAGACATTGCTGCTATAAACATTGGGATGCACATGCCCCTTCAGATCACTACATATGTATCTTTGGGGTAAATACCCAGTAGACAGCATGCTGTTTTTAAAGGTGTTTGACATGAACTAGTTTGAAAACTAAGTTATAATGGATTGACTTTGCAAATGTATTAATTTTGGTAAACCCCAATATCTGCGGACTATATATAGCTCGTTGAGAAATGGCTAGTTTGGTACTTTATGCATAAGACAGATAAGCCGTCACTTGGTGTGGAAGTTATTGGCAAACACTCAACAGCAGTGTGTCTTGAAGTGCAAAATTGGTTCTGTCCCTGCATTAGAGGATGCGTGTGTCCAATATTAGACTTCAGCTCTGAGCAGGGACAGTTCCTGATAGGACGCCTTGTGCAGTGCCTGGCGCATAGTAGGAGCTCAGTAAATGTTTGAGGGGTTGTATTCAATATTCATTCAACAAGGAAGGGCTGTAACTTAGAGACGCTAACCAGTTGAAGGATTGGATGTGAGAGAGAGCTTGCAAAGCTGCTTAAATTGCTGGGAAGTAACTTTTTCCACACAGATGAGGACGTGTGCTTTATAAACTTTCAGGGGGGTACATGTAAACTTTTTTTTAAGCTCATCTTTAATTGGAAGCAAATGAAAGGTAGACATTCAGTGCAAGGTAGTTCTCTTCCTAATAAAGTCATGTAGGCTTCTTCACACCTGCAGCATATTATATTATCTTTACGATCTTGAAATATAAGGCAGGAGGGGATGGTATTCTGCGCCCAGACACATCTACAGAAAGGAAAAATGCCACAGTTCTTTGGAGGTCCACCTGACTCTTCCTGTTTTTACAGGCATGTTTGCCACAGTTGCTGGTATATCTCAGCGAGCCCCTGTGCACTGGTCGGAGAATGTGATCGGGGCGGCCATTTGCTTCCCATATGTCATAGCGCTCGATGATGAATTCATCACAGTGCACAGCATGTTGGACCAGCAGCAAAAGCAGACCCTGCCCTTTAAGGAAGGCCACATTCTACAGGATTTTGAAGGTACTACTTTGCAAAGAAATCTTAATGAAATTTATTTATCAACCCATTTGTGATATTTCTTCAGTAAACATTAGTAGGGGTCCATTTGAAGCTGGACCTCATGCTAAACTTTGAAGCTACACAGTTAATGGTTGCAGTTTTGGGACTCCAGGGGCTCCAAGGGTAAAGGGGAGATAGACATTTGGACAGATAGTTGTAGCAGTTGAAGATCTTGATAGGCATGAAACAAGGCCAATCAGGAGAGCAGAGGGTGAAATGTTTCCTGGAATTATCAGGGAGGGCTTCCTGAAGGAGATGGTATTTGAGCCAAACCTTTAAGGATGAGTAAGAGTCAGCCAAGCAGATTTGGTGTGAAAGGACCTCAGGTAGAGAGAAAGGTGCCTGCAGATCTGCGCAAGAGGGAGCCCTGGTCTTCAGGCCATGCAAGCAATTCAGGGTGACTATAGTACGTCATGCGTGAGGAGGGCTGGCCTGAGATGAGGCTGCAGCAGACCAGGGCTGTCAGGAGGGACTTCCCCTTGTGTGCAGCAGTGAGCCAGGCGAGGGATTTCTTTTACTTTTCCTAAATTTTATTATGAATATTTTCAAACGTACTGAAAAGTTGAAAGGAAAACAAAGTGAAGTACCATATACCATTCAGCTAGACTCAACACTTGTAAACATTTTGCCAAACCATTCAAAAGTAAGTAAAAGACATCATGACATTTAATCCGAAATACTTCAACACACATCTCCTAAGAATTAGAGCATTTTCCTACATAACTGCAAAGCCCTTTCGCCCCTTAGAAAATGAGCTGACCATGTTCAGATTTCCCCAGTTGTCCTAAGAAGGTCTTTTTTTTTTTTTT